CAAAGTATGTGTCAACATACTGTATGTTAAACCATCTAATTATAGCCTGGGTCTCCAGGGACACGTTATACGAGGCTGTTAGGGAGGTCCAGCAGGGCTCTCTGGCTAAGCCCAGAAAGTAAGACCACTGAGCATTACTGTGTCATTACAATAACAAAATATAAAGTGTAATAGTACTGTAATGGCAAATATTGCACATTATTGTATTTCTGTGATTTAGAGATATACCATAGCTGAATGACCTTGAATAGTCTTTCCTAAGTGTAAAAGTAATTGTATGACACTTAGCTAACAACATTTAGTATGTTTTTAAGGGGCAATCTGCAGTTGCTACATCCATTTTTGGGACTTATAAATAAATTATACAGCACCAGTAAAAGGTTTGGACACGCCTACTCATTCAAGAGTTTTTCATTTGTTACATTGTAGAATAATAGTGAAGAAATCAAAACTATGAAATAACACATATGGAATTATGTAGTAACCAAAAAAGTGTTAAACAAATCAAAATATATTTTATATTTGAGATTCATCAAATAGCCACCCTTTGCCTTGACAGCTTTGCACACTCTTGGCATTCTCTCAACCAGCTTCACCTGGAATGATTTTCCAACAGTCTTGGCGTTCCCACATATGCTGAGCACTTGTTGGCTGCTATTCCTTCACTCTGCCGTCCGACTCATCCCAAACCATCTCAATTGGGTTGAGGTCGGGGGATTGTGGAGGCCAGGTCATCTGATGCAGCACTCCATCACTCTCCTTCTTTGTAAAATAACCCTTACACAGCCTGGAGGTGTGTTGGGTCATTGTCTTGTTGAAAAAAAAAAATGATAGTCCCACTACGCGCAAACAGATGGGATGGCGTAGCGCTGCAGAATGCTTTGGTAGCCATGCTGGTTAAGTGTGCCTTGAATTCTAAATAAATCACAGACAGTGTCACCAGCAAAGCACCCCCACACCATAACAACTCCTCCATGCTTTACGGTGGGAACTACACATGCAGAGATCATCCGTTCACCCACACCGCGTCTCACAAAGACACGGCAGTTGGAACCAAAAATCTCAAATTTTGACTCCAGACCAAAGGACAGATTTTCACCGGTCTTAATGTCCATTGTTCGTGTTTCTTGGCCCAAGCAGGTCTCTTCTTCTTATTGGTGTCCTTTAGTAGTGGTTTCTTTGCAGTAATTCGACCATGAAGGCCTGATTCACACAGTCCCCTCTGAACAGTTGATGTTGAAATGTGTCTGTGACTTGAACTCTGTGAATCATTTATTTGGGCTGCAATTTCTGAGGCTGGTAACTCTAATGAACTTATCCTCTGCAGCAGAGGTAACTCTAGGTCTTCCATTCCTGTGGCAGTCCTCATGAGAGCCAGTTTCGTCATAGCGCTTGATGGTTTTTGCAACTGCACTTAAAGAAACGTTCAAAGTTCTTGAAATGTTCCGTATTGACTGACCTTCACCTTAAAGTAATGATGGAATGTTATTTCTCTTTGCTTATTTGAGCTGTTCTTGCCATATTATGGACATGGTCTTTTACCAAATAGGGCTATCTTCTGTATAGCCTCAAAATGTGCTTAAAACTATAATTTTTATATATTGGATGGTCAGCTCTGTTTATGAATTTAAGAGTGGTTACATTTCTCCAGGCCCACCCCTTAGCTTTTTTACCAAAACAGAGGCGGGGTATCTGCTTTATTGTTTAAACTACGGATTTCCCCTTTAAAGCCTTGATATGCATGACACATCTTTCAATTGTATCTTCTCTCTCTGCTCAGGTTTGTGGAGATGGTGGAACTACAGATCAGCCTGAAGAACTACGATCCCCAGAAGGACAAGCGTTTCTCTGGTACCGTCAGGTCTGGTCCCAGTCCTCTACTGTCTAACCCAACCTTCTCTCTGTCTGCTCCTTAACCCTAACACTGTTAGAAGAGTGAGAATCCACCTCTGTATGGCAAGTTGGCAACAAATTGGCCACATTCACAATCACAGCCTGTCTCTCAATAGTCTAACATGTCATCCTCTTTAACAAAATGGATCAAAACAGAATAGCAATGGCTTGTGATGAATCAGGAATTTTCTTTCACCTGTCCAGTTCTGAAGGAAAGAAGACAAGTAGAGGAAAGGAGGCCATTTTAGAGTATTGAGATGCACCCACAACCCCCAGGCGAAGTCCAGGTTGGGTAGGACAATTCATTGAAGAATTAATGTGTAATCTAACTGAGCCTGTACCACTTCAGGGGCAAGCAAAGCAGCCGGACCCCTACCCTGGGTCTTAAAATATGAGGGTAGGCTGAGGGTGAAATATTCCATGTCCCCAAGCCGACCATGGTGCTATGAAATATTGTACCAGTCGTTGAAGGTAGACCGTCTGACTGACTGTTTGGAAGCCAGCCAAGGTGGGTAAAGCTTATATGTTGAGTCTGTTGGAGGAGGCAGTGAGTCTGGTCCCAGATCTGTTTGTGCCGTCTTGAGAACTCCCAATATGACACAAACAGATCTGGGACCAGGCTAGAGGGAGGGTCAACTGCAGACGTTATCCAGTGAGGGTCAATGTTGTCTTTCTCTCTGTGTGTGTCTCTCTCTCTCCTCCCCCCTTCTTACCCCAGGCTGAAGACCCTGCCCAGGCCCAAGTTCTTGGGGGAGACCAGCAGCACTGTGATGAGGCTAAGGCTGCAGACCTGCCCCACATGGACATTGAAGCCCTGAAGAAACTCAACAAGAACAAGAAGCTTGTCAAGAAACTCTGTAGGGAGTGTTTCAATGTGCTTTGTGTTGTATATCAAAATGAGTGTAACATCAATATTGCTACAGAGAGATGAGTGGTCATGACAACGTGACAATATGACTTGAATGTATTGTCACAAAGTAGTTTCCCAATACATACAAACATTGCCTAGACACGAGGGACAGTTGTTGCTGCATAATTGCAGAAGGATGGGCAGCATATGAGATGTAGTAGGAAACGGTGCATACTCTGGCTTCTAGAAGATTATAGCTCCCTCTACAGAGTACATACCACACAACACCACACCTTGTCGAAAGGTATATTGTGACTAACCTCTTTTCTGTGTATGACGCATTCCTGGCGTCCGAGTCTCTGATCAAGCAGATCCCTCGTATCCCGGGTCCTGGCCTCAACAAGGCTGGCAAGTTCCCCTCGCTGCTCACACACAACGAGAACCTCAGCACCAAGGTGGACGAGGTCAAATTTCACCATCAAGTTTCAGATGAAGAAGGTAAATGGGCTTCACCATCCTCAGTCAATGGTTGTGTCCCGATTCTCTGGTCTTATCCCTGAAGCTCGAATCACTTTCCCTAATGGGTTTGAAGCATTGAATTGGCGTTAGCATGGGCTAGAGGGAGTAGTCAACGTTTTCCTTCCACCAGTCCATTCGTAAATCAAGGAGTGGGTGAACAAGTACACATTTCGGGGAGAATGGTGGAGAATCTCACTGATTGAGATTGACAACACTCTTCTTATTGCAACACTTTTGGTTTTGTGCTAAACGTCCCTCCGTCCCTCCCTGTGTGTGTTCCAGGTACTGTGTCTGGCTGTGGCGGTGGGTCACATAAAGATGACAGAGGAGGAGCTGGTGTACAACATCCACCTGGCCATCAACTTCCTGGTCTCTCTGCTCAAGAAGAACTGGCAGAACGTACGTGCCCTCTACATCAAGAGCACCATGGGAAAACCTCAGCGCCTCTCCTAGTCTCTATTGTTCTCCACTAGAGTCTACTAGAGAATCACACTGCCCTGTGAATCAGGATCACCATGGGAAAACCCCAACGCCTCTCCTAGAGAACCAAACTAGCCTGGTCCCAGATCTGTTTGTGCTGTCTTGCCAACTCCTTTGGTTATTGTTGTGCCTTGAACTAGCTGTCAAACTGTCTTTCTTTTTTTCTATGAATAAACCTGCCAAGATCCTCCAATCTTCTGTCTTGTTTGTGTTCTAGTTGTGAACTTTTTCTCTAAGACACCTCTAATAAACAGTGGACTTTAATAAACAGTGGACTTTAATAAACAGTGGACTTTAATAAACAGTGGACTTCAATAAAGAGTGGACTTCAATAAAGAGTGGACATTAATAAACAGTGGACTAAAAATAAACAGTGGACTTTAACAGAGTGGACTTGAATAAATAGTGTGGTAGTGTAGATCTGAAAATGTGTGTGTGCACGCACGCACGCAGACACACACACACACACAGTACCTGTCCTGGTCTCGTTCCCTGACTGACTGGATCTCATAGTAGGATTAATGACATCCTGAGTGCAGTCCTCTGGAACTGACAGAGAGAGTGAAGAGACTTGATCTTGTTCTTGCCTACCTGATTATTTGCCCTGTATTCCACTTTCATATTTAGTCCAAGGGACAGGGAGTAGTTGATCAAATCACCTTGGTTGTCATTAGTAACCAGTCTGTATACACACACACACACAAGCATCTGCCTCTAACCCTAGGAAGCTCTTTGCCACCTTCTCCTCCCTGCTGAATACCCCCCCCCCCCCCCCCCCTCTCTCTCTGTGGATGACTTCGTCAACCATTTTGAAAAGAAGGTTGACGACATCCGATCCTTGTTTGTTAAGTCAAATGACACTGCTGGTCCTGCTCTGCCCTATGCTTTGACTTCTTTCTCCCCTCTCTCTCCAGATGAAATCTTGTGACTTGTGACGGCCGGCCGCCCAACACCTGCCCGCTTGACCCTATCCCCTCCTCTCTTCTCCAGACCATTTCCGGAGACCTTCTCCCTTACCTCACCTCGCTCATCAACTCATCCTTGACCGCTGGCTATGTCCCTTCCGTCTTCAAGAGAGCGAGAGTTGCACCCCTTCTCAAAAAACCCACACTCGTTCCCTCCGATGTCAACAACTACAGACCAGTATCCCTTCTTTCTTTTCTCTCCAAAACTCTTGAGCGTGCCGTCTTTAGCCAACAGACTGGAGAGGGGTCCAGCTCAGCCCAGTCACCGGAGCCAGACCTCTCTCCAGTCACCACCGGAGCCAGACCCCTCTCCAGTCACCACCGGAGCCAGACCCCTCTCCAGTCTGTCCAGCACCCTGTCCACTCACAAGCCAAACGAAGTGGTCACCAAGAAAAACATCATCAGGTACAGTATATCATCTTGATCAACCATGATCAGTGGTACAATATTAACATGACAAAGGCACAGTAACACAACAAGGAATTGTCCAAACAAGGGGCTTGTTGTTGTATTCTACCATGACGCGTGTCTGTGGAAGTTCACCTTTGGATACTCTAATAAGGCACAGACATAAAGGCAAGGAAAGGGTGGAGAGAAAACAAAGTGGACTCACCAACCAACGCACCACTGGAATGTAAGTCACTTATAATGTAACAGTTACAGTATACCAAAGAGTTGTATGACTAACCCAAGATAGACCAGAGCCTGTCGTTTCCAATGGTAACAAATGAATCATAGTGGGTAGAACAAGCAAGGAGGTGGGCAGAGCCAAGCATGAGGTAGTGAGATCCTATTGGCGCGTTCTAGCATTTATTTGCATATTTCCGTGAGGGAACGCCTACTCTGTGAAGTTTGTGTGTGCAATAACTCAATTCACCCTTGCACTCCTTCTAAACAACGCAATATTTTACAACTTTGGCAAAGGGTAAAGTCTACAAAACGCAGTCTCTGTTACATATTCTAGTTTTGACAATTAGCAGAATGTTGGCCAAAATTCTTCTCCCACTGCCGGCCACTGGGCTTCTCTCATCACCATATTTGGTAGGGAGTGGCAACTCCAACCGGATGCTTCAAATTTCTACATCCGGTGAAATATCTGGCTCATTGTTCAATCTGTGGCTATACTTTTTCCTCTGATGTCACTACTATGGAAGCATATTGCTGTCAAAATGTATGCGCAGACATATGCTTCCGTACTTTACTGCCATGAAGGCAACACCCAGCTTCTCTCTTTAGGTGTGGCCCTGTGTGCAAAGAGCGCCCCCTGGCACACTGGCTGTGGCACTGCCGTTGGGTTGTCCTCAGCGTGTATCTGTTAGTGCTCTGCTGTGGTACTACAGATCATCCTCTTCTGGCTCAGTCCTAAACGTCTGCTGTGAAAGACAAAGATCCTTTCTGGTGATGAGCTTCAACACAAACACTTCCTGAAGGCGACAGTTAGACACAGCCCTTCCTGGTTCTGGCCCCTGGCTTCAGATTGGTCATTGAACAGCTTCACTCAAGAAAACGTTCCTATTTCATGGAGTTGAAAGAATCTTCATGTCTCAATTCTGTGATGAATCAATTTAAGTATGACAATGTGTTAATTTGCATGTAGTGGCAGAAGTAACATGCTTCGTGTTATCTTCTATTGCAAGCTGTCACATGGCGCATGCCTGAGTTTTAAAAGATGTTAATAATATTGTTATGAAGTTATTTTATACTGACTAGAAACAAGCACCTCTGCAAATGAATCTCTCTAAAAAGAAATGCCACTTGACGATCAGTCATATCAAGCCTTTTAATTATAAATATGGAAACGATATCAAAACGTGCACAATCAACTGGTTAGTACCACAACAAAACCGCAATGCAGTGAAAACCTCCAACACAATCATGCTTCAAACAAACCAATTAGAAACAAATGCATCTTAGGTTAATATATATTAATAGTTTAACAGGTTAACGTTCAGCTTATTTCATGTTATTGTTAGTGTACTCCAGCTTACGGAGAAACAGCTTCTAGCATTTTCTAGTTCTATTTTCTAAATGATGTTAAAAATAACATAATACAATTATATTAAGGATTTTGTGATAGTTATGTTGTGCATATACTGCTAATAGATAGAGAAGGAAAACAAAGATACTGTAGACATTCAATTAAAGAAAGAAATAATGATATTAGGAATGTTGCAGCTTTATTACTCCGAATGTAATCGATAAAGAAAGAAAACAAATATATAGAAATTCAATTAAAGAAAGAAATCACTATATTAAGAATGCCGTAACTTCATTTGGACCTTGTTGTGCCAGACACAAATAACTTTTACAGTAAGCTATCTTGAAATGTTATAGTCATTAACAAATTTATGAAACTTGTTACAAAAACATGTCATATTTAACCTGTAGAAAATAATCTAATTGAAATAATAATAACTTTATTTTTCAAATAAAATAAATAAACTGGCAAAGCGCGTTTTATAGAAATGTCAAACTTGCTTTACATAAAGCATTAGATAAAATAGTACTAAAGCTAGATACTTATCATGGTACCCAACTACCCATGGAGCCAAGGTCTTCTTCTGCATTTTGTCGAGGACAGTTGTCCCTCACCAGGGACATATCATCTCACTGAGAGTCCATTGACTAAATAAATACAGACATACTCAATACTCTAGAGAAGGTCCTTCCCTCATCGTGTTTAGCATAGCTTACTGCAGTAGGGCAACTCCCCCGGGTTACAGCCAGAGCCATATACTGCATAGATATACATATAATATATATTATGTACCGTATACCGTTTATGGCTGTGGTTACACCTGGCTCTGGCTCAACGAACCACTGTACTGGAGTTCCATCTGCAGCCCTCTGAAGGATCAGCTTCTGATAGGGACCCTGAAACACAACAACAACACATTTCATTCATGTTCATTACATGTATATTTACACTTTACATTTTAGTCATTTAGCAGACGCTCTTATCCAGAGCGACTTACAGGAGCAGTTAGGGTTAAGTGCCTTGCTCAAGGGCACATTGACAGATTCTTCACCTAGTCGGCTCGGAGATTCAAACCAGTGACCTTTCGGTTACTGGCCCAACACTCTTAACCGCTAGGCTACCTGCCGCCCTACATTACATTCCTGTTCCTTTAGCTCGACATCTATCTGTTCTAATATCAATGGGAAATGCTAGTAATGCTATGGTCGTGAGTGTTAGGGGGCATCCTCACCTGCATGTAGGGTGGGAGGTGAGGGGATGTGGGGCTCTTCACTCTCAATGACCCCAGGCGCTCCAGGGAACCAGGGTGTGTCTTCTGGAACTGGTTCTGGAACTGGTTCCGCTGGTTCCAGGACTTGAGCTCTGACGCCATCTCCCTGGGCAGCACCCGGGCGGATTGGTTGGGGTACTCCCTCAGTGACGGGGTACGTACCAGGCGGGTGTAGGGGGGTGGAGGCTTCAGAACTCTCCTGGGGGATGACGGTGGGGGGCCTGCTGCCAGTATCTGTGCTGCTGCTGGGGGGGCCGGGAGGGGGACAGGTGAAGAACCCTCCCCAAGGGACTATCCAGGTCCTGTGGGGAAAGAGGGGAACAGGTGCCTTCCGCCGCCATTCTTCTTCTCAAGCTGGGAGAGGACTGGTGCTTGGTGTTACTCTTGTAAAAGCTGGGGCTGTTGGAGCCATTCAACGCAGGGCTGGTCGGACTTTGGGCTCTGTAGTGGAAGCCATAGGGAGGAGGGCAGAGCTTGGGGATCTCGGTGGATGCGGGGCCCTCCCTGTCTTTGTGATTATCTTTATCCCTGTCCCGGCAGGGGGGGCTGGTGTAGGAGGGGAGAGAGTGTTCAGAGCTGCTGTCCTCAGAGCTGGACTGGTACAGCCGCTAAGGGGGCTGGTGTAGGAGGGGAGAGAGTGTTCAGAGCTGCTGTCCTCAGAGCTGGACTGGTACAGCCGCTGGTGGGCATACTGTGGAGACCGAACCAGGAACTCTGGCCGTCGGCGTGGCAACCTGGCTCGCCCACGTCCCTCACCCAGGTCATGAGTGACTGACTTCTGGGAAGCCTGAGAAGTGGAAAAAAGACAGGGGAGAGAAAAGTGAGCTACTGTCTCCCTATATTGTGCAATTAATACAGCAACTTCATTATTAAACGTGATCTAGTCTAGTCAATGTATTTTATCAATATAATTTATTACACACCCACAACAATAGACACACAAAACACAATAAAGGTAATCAACACAGTCTACGGTTTTGACAATCTGTGTTATGGTGTTGACGTTCTTTGTTGCGGTGTTGACGTTCTGTGTTATGGTGTTGACGTTCTGTGTTATGGTGTTGACGTTCTTTGTTGCGGTGTTGACGTTCTGTGTTATGGTGTTGACAGTCTGTGTTATGGTGTTGACGTTCTGTGTTATGGTCTTGACAGTCTGTGTTATGGTGTTGATGTTCTGTGTTACGGTGTTGACGTTCTTTGTTGCGGTGTTGACGTTCTTTGTTGCGGTGTTGACGTTCTGTGTTATGGTGTTGACAGTCTGTGTTATGGTGTTGACGTTCTGTGTTATGGTCTTGACAGTCTGTGTTATGGTGTTGATGTTCTGTGTTATGGTGTTGATGTTCTGTGTTACAGTGTTGACGTTCTGCGCTATGGTGTTGACGTTCCGCATTATGGTGTTGACGTTCTGTGTTATGGTGTGGACTGTCTGTGTTATGGTGTTGACGTTCTGTGTTATGGTGTCGACATTCAGTGTTATAGTGTTTACGTTCTGTGTTATGGTGTCATCGTTCTGTGTAACGGTGGTGACGTTGCGAAGCGTTGGTTGGTTACCTGAAGGACTGGGAGTACTGTCTGCGTACGTGCAGCTCTGGAGTAGAGGGGGCGCTGGAGGAGTTGGTCTGTCCATGTCTCAGAGCCATGTTCTTAATGGAGGGGAAGTGGGAGGGCAGGACTCTGCTGTCTGCAGGGAACACTGGGGTCCCTACTGGGGTGCTGCTCAGAGAAACAGGGAGGGAGAGAGAGGGGGGAGGGGGGAGGGGGGGCAGGGCAGGAGTTAGACAACTGCTAGAGTAGTACAGTTTATGTAGTCAAAAGCAAATCTATTTTTATGGGGTTCTGGGCAGAATAAATATTATAGAAGTAAAGTAGGACCTGCAAACTCAGTTGCTCCACCTTTATTAGTTAACAGAATTCCGATCCAAAAAGGATGTGGACTCTTACCTGGGCCTGCTGCTGCAGACAGAGAGGGGTGTGTTAGGTTTCAGATAGGGCTGGTCCAGATTAGACTCCCTCCAGGGGGAGTTCTGGATGGGGGAGCGCTCAGGAAACTCCACACTGCAGCTGGAGCCCATCCTGGAGCCCTGGGTCTGGGTCTGCTCCACACTGCAGCTGGAGCCGAGACTGGAGCCCTGGGTCTGGGTCTGCTCCACACTGCAGCTGGAGCCGAGACTGGAGCCCTGGGTCTGGGTCTGCTCCACACTGCAGCTGGAGCCCATCCTGGAGCCCTGGGTCTGGGTCTGCTCCACACTGCAGCTGGAGCCGAGGCTCTGGCTCTGGGTCTGGGTCTGCTCCACACTGCAGCTGGAGCCGAGGCTCTGGCTCTGGGCTGAGGTGTGATGGAGACTGCCCTGGGAGGAGGAGGACTGGAGGGACAGGGAGCCCAAAGAGGACTGTATGAGTGGGTCTACAGACGATGAGGAAGAGAGAGAGTCTATGGATAGACAGAGGAGACACAATACAAAGGGTCAGACATGATGACACTTTGGTATAGTTGAATTGCATTGGCATTTCTACTGTGTTAGTTGATAACTCACCATCGTCCAGGGCCACTGCATCAGACAGGGAGCTGTCGTCAGACATGCACAGATCTGGGGACAGAAATAAAATAAGGCTTATTTAAGACTTCATTCAATTAGGGGAAGGGGTTGTGGAAATTATCAACATTGCAGTGTAATTCTTATGACATGTACTGCTTATGTGATTCAATAACTAAACAATTGTGAGGAAAAAAAAAACTCCAACCTCCATCAGACTGAGTGAGAATATAACCAGAAACCGTACAGTATGAAGATAGACATAGCCTTAATGGCCATGTACTCTTATAATCTCCATGTACTCTTATAATCTCCATGTACTCTTATAATCTCCATGTACTCTTATAATCTCCATGTACTCTTATAATCTCCATATAACTCGTATAATCTCTTATAATCCCCACTGGCCACCCCTCGGAGCCTGGTTCCTCTCTAGGTTTCTTCATAGGTTTCTGCCTTTCTAGGGAGTTTTTCCTAGCCACCATGCTTCTACATCTGCATTGCTTGCTGTTTGGGGTTTTAGGCTGGGTTTCTGTATAAGCACTTTGTGACAACTGCTAATGTAAAAAAGGGCTTTATAAATACATTTGATATGCAGAAACTGCTTCTCCAATAGAAATCCCTGATCACGCTTAGGTGATGTCATGGAGACGTTGGTTAGCTAAGCTCATGATTAGAAACATGTAATTGGGTCTAACAGTCCAATAAAAATAGTAGCTGAAATACTTTTTCAGTATATCCTGTTCACAGGAGGCTGCTGAGGGGAGGACGGCTCATAATAATGGCTGGAATGAAGTCAATGGAATGGTATCAAACACATGGAAACTGTGTGTTTGATGTGTTAGATACCATTCCAGTTATTCCATTCCAGCCATTACTATGACCCGTCTTCCCCAACTAAGGTGCCACCGGCCGCCTGTGATCCTGTTACTATCATCCGTAAAATATCTGTATAAATTAATTGGTCCCAATTAAGCATGAACGACAGTACTATAAAAATCTAAGGCACAAGGTGTCAGTTTGTCACTTTCACGAGGTTGGAGTAATACCATGTTCAACTACTTAAGACATTGGCTCCAATCTAGGTTGTGCCTTTACATTTTGAGAAAATTAACAACTAAGGAATAATTTCTAACTTCTTACTTCTTTCATTGACTTCTCAAACCTCAAACCCGGGCTTGGTCTGCTTAGTCTGCTTCGCAAGCGTTCCCAGAAGTATCGCGATGTTGTGCCTCTGGGTTTAGAAACTCTGTGATACTGTATAACCTAAACTCCCTGCAGACTGCAGAGCCCAATGTGGCCAGATGGTGGCAGCAGTAGCACAGGCACAGCACTCACTGTGTTTGGCTGTGTTGTTCTTCTTGTTGGTCGGTGGAGAGGAGCAATCGTTCCTGATCCTGTACTGAAACACAGCTTCCTGGAGATCCTTGACTTTCCTCTCTTCCCTGTTACACTGCTGCAGCCTGCTCTTCTTCTGTGGTTTGGACAGGTGCTCCTCCAATGAGAGTCTACGAGCCGCTTCAACGATCTGGAGCTGCAAGGCCAGGTCTGTCTCTAAGGAGTGAAGCTCTGAATCCTGAGGGAGAGAAAGTATTTATTTTTTTTCAGTTTAGAAGAATAACCATGATTTATCAATTTAATAGCCTTCTTGATTGAGCTGGGTTTAAGTAAGTAAATACTGTATTCTGTGTTCAAAATCGCTCTTATCAGATATGCACTTTGCCTTTGCTTATAGGCTTTACAACATATTGTTAGGAAAAACTCCTGACCCTACCGATTACCAATACTGTGTAATATAGGAAGTGTAAAGGGTGACCGTGGGAAGGGTTCATATTGGTCTGTACCTCTCCATCCTGGTAGATGAGACTGTGGTCCAGTTTAAAGGTAGCTCCTATTCTCCTGCGGACACGAGGGGGCTTCTCATCAGGAAGTAGAGGGTAGTCTGAAGACAGCTTACCTGTCAGCTCCTGTAAAATAAATACAATCCAAAGTCAAATGAAGTCGTTTCTAAACATACCCCTAAGAGATTACTGCTGAAAGAGCAGTCTGTAACTCTGTTACTGCTGAAAGAGCAGTCTGTAACTTCTCTGAACCATTTGTATGTATATATGAGTCTCAGGTCTCCTACACGTCACAAGACTATGTTAGCCCACTGAACTACAGCCTAGGCATTACCTCAGGGAGCTAACATAAGTCTTCAGGTCTCAGGCTAGGTTAGACAGTCACAGCCTCCCTGATGCACCCCAAAAAAATAGAATATATACAGTTGAAGTCGGAAGTTTACATACACTTAGATTGGAGTCATTAAAACTCATTTTTCAACCACTCCACACATTTATTGTTAACAAACTATCGTTTTGGCAAGTCTGTTAGGACATCTACTTTGTGCATGACACAAGTAATCTTTCCAACAATTGTTTACAGACAGATTATTTATTATTTCACTATAATATCACAACTCCAGTGGGTCAGAAGTTTACATACACTAAGTTGACTGTGCCTTTAAACAGCTTGGAAAATTCCATAAAATGATGTCATGGCTTTAGAAGCTTCTGATAGGCTAATTGACATCATTTGAGTCTATTGGAGGTGTACCTGTGGATGTATTTGAAGGCCTACCTTCAAACTCAGTGCCTCTTTGCTTGACATCATGGGAAAATCCAAAGAAATCAGCCAAGACCTCAGAAAAAAAATTGTAGACCTCCACAAGTCTGGTTCATCCTTAGGAGCAATTTCCAAACGCCTGAAGGTACCACGTTCATCTGTACAAACAATAGTACGCAAGTATAAACACCATGGGACCATGCATCCGTCATACCGCTCAGGAAGGAGACGCGTTCTGTCTCCTAGACATGAACGTACTTTTGTGCGAAAAGTGCAAATCAATCCCAGAACAACAGCAAAGGACCTTGTGAAGACGCTGGAAGAAACAGGTACAAAAGTATCTATATCCACAGTAAAACGAGTCCTATATGGACATTACCTGAAAGGCCGCTCAGCAAGGAAGAAGCCACTGCTCCAAAACCGCCATAAAAAAGCCAGACTACGGTTTGCAACTGCACATGGGGACAAAGATCATCATATTTTTGGAGAAATGTCCTCTGGTCTGATGAAACAAAAATAGAACTGTTTGGCCATAATGACCATTGTTATGTTTGGTGGAAAAAGGGGAGAATTTGCAAGCCGAAGAACAACATCCCAACTGTGAAGCACGGGGTGGCAGCATCATGCTGTGGTGGTGCTTTTCTGCAGGAGGGACTGGTGCACTTCACAAAATAGATGGCATCATGAGGAAGGAAAATGATGTGGATATATTGAAGCAACATCTCAAGACATCAGTCAGGAAGTTAAAGCTTGGTTGCAAATGGGTCTTCCAAATGGACAATGACCCCAAGCATACTTCCAAAGTTGTGGCAAAATGGCTTAAGGACAACAAAGTCAAGGTATTGGAGTGGCCATCACAAAGCCTTGCCCTCAATCCTATAGAACATTTGTGGGCAGAACTATAAAAGTTTGTGCGAGCCAGGAGGCCTACAAACCTGACTCAGTTACACCAGCTCTGTCAGGAGGAATGGGTCAAAATTCACCCAACTTATTGTGGGAAGCTTGTGGAAGGCTACCCGAAACGTTTGACCCAAGTTAAACAATTTAAAGGAAATGCTACCAAATACTAATTGAGTGTATGTAAACGTCTGACCCACTGGGAATGTGATGAAAGAAATAAAAGCTGAAATAAATAATTCTCTCTACTATTATTCTGACATTTCACATTCTTAAAATAAAGTGCTGATCCTAACTGACCTAAGACATGTCATTTTTTACTAGGTTTAAATGTCAGGAATTGTGAAAAACTGAGTTTAAATGTATTTGGCTAATGTGTATGTAAACATCCGACTTCAACTGTATATATCTCAACAACGGTATAGATATGCATAAATACAACAGTGTGACTACTCACAGCCTCTCTAATGCAGAGCTTCTTGAGGTCTACTAGCAGCTCCTCTAGAACCTGCTGCTTCAGCCTCATGACCCGGGTGTGGGTGGTCAGGTCCTTTCCCGGCGACGTGGAGCTGTCGGGACCTGAGATTATGTTAATGGGGCTTTTCCCACAGAGCACAGGCCTCATGCAGGCATCACATTTGGAGCTTTTATCACAGAATTAACAGATTAATAGATTATAGATATTTCAGCTAGCTACCCTACTATCAATAAACTTCTAGCTCCCTGAAGTTCAATATTTGATACGATAGATTTAGGTCTTAGCATTAGTAATACGTTCTGTGCTTTCCGTAAGGATTTATATCTGAACCTAGAATGGATCTAAAGCTTTCAAATGTATGGTTCAGCATTGTTGATGTGTTAAGCTCTTACCAGAGTTGAGAATGATCCCAGTGTCCGTGTCACTGACCTCTTTATCCACCATGGCTGTTGGATGGCCTTTTCACAGTGTTAAAACAACACCTGTTGGACGAAGAGAGAAATAATTCAATCAGATTTATTAAATCATCATTATTCACTAGAAAACATATCCAATGTTATGATCACTCAGGAAAGGGGAACATTGCTTCACCTAAAAAATATCAGTTTCCATTCCTGATGCTGAATGTCTCTTTTAATACTGATCCACTCCCTACTAGCTACCCCCCCTCGCCTCCTCGAAGACAGCAGAGAAGCTGAATCAGAGCGCCAAAACAGAAGGGACAGAAGCGCGAGGAGACGCCCGCCGAAGCCGCAGAAGCGGGAAGACGAAGAGAGACGCGGAGGGGAGGACGCCGAAAGCAGACGTAAAGAAAGGATGTACGCGACGGGCCTGCTGAAGCCGTGGCGAATCCCCTCAGCTACGCTCCCCTGTCCTCCTCCTCATCCTCCTTCCTCTTCCTATCCTACTCCTCCTCCTCCTCCTCTCATTACCTCATATGCCTTTCCTCTCCTCCTTTCCTTCTCCCATCCTGGCAACCGTTTCTCCCTCCCATCACAATAGACAGCAGCCCCCATGCTTGACTCGGCACATGTGGGATGGGACCAGGGGTTAATCCGAAACCGGACTCTATGGCAACAGTCACAGTGCGCACCGCTGTTCTCCGAAGGGAGTGTGTGTGTGTGTTGCCATTAGGAATGTCAGAGGGCGTTTAAAGGGACGCACCGTCGCACCCCAAAAAAGAGAACAGGAAAGCAGATGGCTTCAGGGCAAGGGAATTACACCTCTCATGGACTTCACCTGTTCCCCCCTCCCAGAGTCACACACACACACACACACACACTCTCACACACTCTCACACACACACACACACTCCGACAGCTCTCCTTTCAACCAGTGTCCAGAGAAACAACTCTCGAGGGGCTTTTGAAGTGGAACAATATCTCAATGCTGAGCCTGTCTCTGTAGCATCAGCCAGCTCACATAAAGACACTGAAGATTCATGATATAGCACATCTAGGATTTCACTTACACATTCTCACACTGTTGAACACATAAACAATGTTTATGGTCCATTCTATTGTGTGTGTGTGTGTGTTCCCCAGGATAAATAACTGAGAGAAACCGGTAAATTATAATACATTATTTATATGAACAGCATGGCGTGAAATGGAACTGTTAAATGATATGCAATGTCTAAATATGGCTTCTCTACATCCTCTGCATGATGAATCAACGCTCAGGGTGGGGACAGACAGTCCATCTCAGTAGGAGGGCAGTTCACAATGCATATAGACCTACGTATCATCTCACCATTGTAACTTTTTTTCTTGTGACAGGTAGGCCTACATTTGCTGCAGCATATCCTATGGTACAGTAATATAAAGACCGAATGCACGTCTAATTTACCCATCTCCATCTGGCTTTCAGGGGTCAACTTGTTTTTTAATTGAAAAGATAGATAAATACATACACTCAAGATGAAAGGTATATACAGAATATATAATCCTGTTCTAGATTGATATATAGCCCTATATATATATATAGCCCTATATATAGATGTCCTAGCCTACCTCTTTCAGGTAATACATTCAATGCAGTATTAGTCTTATATTTAGCTAATTAATGATGGGTTATGCGTAATATCCACTCCAATTTGCATACCGTCCCAACAGATCCACAGATGATGCAATCTCTATTGCGCTCCACACTGCCCTTTCACACCTGGACAAAAGGAACACCTTTGACTACAGCTCAGCGTTCAACACCATAGTGCCCTCCAAGCTCATCACTAAGCTAAGGACCCTGGGACTAAACACCTTCTGCAACTGGATCCTGGACTTCCTGACGGGCCGCCCCCAGGTGGTAAGGGTAGGTAACAACACATCCACCACGCTGATCCTCAACACAGGGGCCCCTCAGGGGTGCGTGCTCAGTCCCCTCCTGTACTCCCTGTTCACTCATGACTGCATGGCCAGGCACGACTCCAACACCATCATTAAGTTTGCCGATGACACAACAGTGGTAGGCCTGATCACCGACAACGACGAGACAGCCTATAGGGAGGAGGTCAGAGACGTGGCCGTGTGGTGCCAGGACAACAAACTCTCCCTCAATGTGATCAAGACAAAGGAGATGATTGTGGACTACAGGAAAAAGAAGAGGACCGAGCATGCCCCCATTCACATCGACGGGGCTGTAGTGGAGCAGGTTGAGAGCTTCAAGTTCCTTGGTGTCCACATCACCAACAAACTAACATGGTCCAAGCACACCAAGACAGTCGTGAAGAGGGCATAACAACACCTATTCCCCCTAAGGAGACTGAAAAGATTTGGCATGGGTCCTCAGATCCTCAAAAGGTTCTACAGCTGCACCATCGAGAGCATCCTGACTGGTTGCATCACTGCCTGGGATGGCAACTGCTCGGCCTCCGACCACAAGGCACTACAGAGGGTAGTGTGTACGGCCCAGTACATCACTGAGGCCAAGCTTCCTGCCATCCAGGACCTCTATACCAGGCGGTGTCAGAGGAAGGCCCTAAAAATTGCCACCCTAGTCATAGACTGTTCTCTCTGCTACCGCACGGCAAGCGGTACCGGAGCGCCAAGTCTAGGTCCAAGAGGCTTCTAAACAGCTTCTACCCCCAAGCCATAAGACTCCTGAACATCTAATCAAATGGCTACCCAGACTATCTGCATTGCCCCCCCACCCCCTCTTTTACACTGCTGCTACTCTCTGTTTATTTTATTATTCATGCATAGTCACTTTAATAACTCTACCTAATGTACATATTACCTCAATTACCTCGACTAACCGGTGCCCCCGCACATTGACTCGGTACCGGTACCCCCTGTATATAGCCTCGCTATTGTTATTTTTACTGCTGCTCTTTAATTATTTGTTACTTTTATTTCGTATTATTTTATATTGTATTTTTTTGTGATTTTTTGGGTGTATTCTTTCTTAAAACTGCATTGTTGGTTAAGGGCTTGTAAGTAAGCATTTCACTGTAAGGTCTACACCTGTTGTATTCGGCACATGTGACAAATAACATTTTATTTTATTTGATAATAAGCTTCTAACTTATAGCCTCTGTCTCTAGTGCAGTACGCAAGCACCTGTGCTCCGCTGGCCTCTCTCCTTAAAAAACGCTCCTTAGCTCTTATAGTCCAATGCAGGAAAAGCTAGACTTGAATAGCTTGCTGGACATTTTTCTGTTTTTGCATTTCTTATACCAATAGACTATTCGAAGACAGCAGCCAATAGAACTCACGGGTAGTTTGAAAGAAGAGCGAACGCGCGATGGCAGTAGGCTATAGCAGTTATTTATTCAGACCCATAACCATTCAATCTTCGTGAAGAGAACTGAAAGCCTTCTGCATCTAATTCTACAATGATGAAGATAAGAACAACAAAACTTTTTTCATTTAAGTTTAAACTGTTGAAAGCGAGGAATGAATGAAGCAACAATAGAGAGAGAAAGAGGAGGTAGGCTAATAACATTATGACAGGTATATACAGATGAAGTCGGAAGTTTACATACACCTTAGCCAAATACATTTAAACTCAGTTTTTTACAATTCCTGACATTTAATCCTAGTAAGAATTCCCTGTTTTAGGTCAGTTAGGATCACCACTTTATTTTAAGAATGTGAAATGTCAGAATAATAGTAGAGAGAATGATTTATTTCAGCTTTTATTTCTTTCATCACATTCCCAGTGGGTCAGAAGTTTACATACACTCAATTAGTATTTGGTAGCATTACCTTTAAATTGTTTAACTTGGGTCAAACGTTTCAGGTAGCCTTCCACAAGCTTCCCACAATAAGTTGGGTAAATTTTGACCCATTCCTCCTGACAGAGCTGGTGTAACTGAGTCAGGTTTGTAGGCCTCCTGGCTCGCACAAACTTTTTCAGTTCTGCCCACACATTTTCTATAGGATCGAGGTCAGGGCTTTGTGATGGCCACTCCAATACCTTGACTTTGTTGTCCTTAAGCCATTTTGCCACAACTTTGGAAGTATGCTTGGGGTCATTGTCCATTTGGAAGACCCATTTGCGACCAAGCTTTAACTTCCTGACTGATGTCTTGAGATGTTGCTTCAATATATATCCACATAATTTTCCTTCCTCATGATGCCATCTATTTTGTGAAGTGCACCAGTCCTTCCTGCAGCAAAGCACCCCCACAGCATGATGCTGCCACCCCTGTGGTTCACGGTTGGGATGGTGTTCTTCGGCTTGCAAACATCCCCCTTTTTCCTCCAACATAACGATGGTCATTATGGCCAAACAGTTCTATTTTTGTTTCATCAGACCAGAGGACATTTCTCAAAAAAGTACAATCTTTGTCCCCATGTGCAGTTGCAAACTGTAGTCTGGCTTTTTTATGGCGGTTTTGGAGCAGTGGCTTCCTCCTTGCTGAGCGGCCTTTCAGGTAATGTCGATATAGGACTCGTTTTACTGTGGATATAGATACGTTTGCACCTGTTTCCTCCAGCATCTTCACAAGGTCCTTTGCTGTTGTTCTGGGATTGATTTGCACTTTTCGCACCAAAGTACGTTCATCTCTAGGAGACAGAACGTGTCTCCTTCCTGAGTGGTATGATGGCTGCGTGGTCCCATGGTGTTTATACTTTCGCACTATTGTTTGTACAGATGAACGTGGTACCTTCAGGCGTTTGGAAATTGCTCCCAAGGATGAACCAGACAAGGATGCATTGAATTTATATGTAGCCTTAGCCGCTGTGGGTTACCAAGCCCAAGTAATCCACTGTATTTTTTTTAGTGATCCAATTTAATCATTTAGCAGACGCTCTTATCCAGAGCGACTTACAGTTAGTGAGTGCATACATTTTTCATACTGGCCCCCCGTGGGTAACGAACCCACAACCCTTGCGTTGCAAGCGCCATGCTCTACCAACTGAGCTACAGGAGGGCCAAGGGCCATTGGTCCTATCTAGAGCAGTGATGTTTAGAGATGGGTATCGGGCCTGTTCCTGTATGGATGGGGAGGACACTCCACTGGTCCTATCTAGAGCAGTGATGTTTAGAGATGGGTATCGGGCCTGTTCCTGTAGGGATGGGGAGGACACTCCACTGGTCCTATCTAGAGCAGTGATGTTTAGAGATGGGTATCGGGCCTGTTCCTGTAGGGATGGGGAGGACACATCACCCTGTGAGCGTCCCAAATAGCACCCTTTTCCCTTTATAGTGCACTACTTTTGACCAGGGCCCATATCGTCTATACAGAGAATAGGGTGCCATGTATGAGAAACCCCTGGCCATGATGTTATTGTGTTGAATCCCACTGGCTGAGTCGGCCCATATTGGCCCATCCTCTTCCCATTCAGCATAGTAACTCATATCTGTAGTCTAATGTGAACCCACCACTGCTGGCTGAAAACACAGAGGCAAACAAATCCCCTGAATTTGTTTTACAGTTTAGTCATTTAGCAGATGCTTTATCCAGTGTGACTTACAGGAGGAGGAGAGGGGAAAGGAACAGAGCTGAGTGGCTGAGGTAGGGGCCTACACTGAGACAGTGGAAAGGATTCAGGACCTTTCTATAAGTTGTAAACCTATGCCAAGACAAACATCATTTGCCATAATGTCTTCATACTGTGTATGAGCCATAATGTCTTCATACTGTGTATGAGCGTGGAGAATGTGGGCAACACATCAGAACTTTTCTGTAACTTGTAGCTAATTGCCAAGACATTGACATCATCATATTAACATTACACGTAACCATAGCCTTCATACTGTGTATGAGTATGATTGTTGAAAACAGAGGAAGGGACTGAGGAAAAAATCAACAAATCACTTCATTGGGTCAAGAACACACCTTCCTCTTGGAGTGTGCCATCCCCGCAGCCTCTGCAATGGATTAGTTCACTGAGATGGGCGCGAATAAGACAGGTGTCTCGTTTGACATAATATACAGTCGTTGTCCTGTTTTTGCTTTGTCATTATGGGGTATTGTGTGTAGATTGATGAGGACATAAAAAAAAAAAAATGTAGAATAAGGCTGTAACGTAACAAAATGTGGAAAAAGTCAAGGGGTCTAAACACTTTCTGAAATCACTGTGTATATATATATATATTCCTGTAGTATTACTGTTACCTTACGCTCCACCCTACAGTACAGACCCTGGCTTCATTGCTGTTGTCATAACAAGCTAATTACTCCAAAGATCTGTGATGATCAGTGATTACAGCAAACAGCGACAGATATCTAAGGATGGCTTCTCATGATCACTGCTTTCTGTTACACCCATCCTCATTCCCCTCTGCTCGCCAGACCGTGAAAACTAAACATCTACCAGGAAATGGTTTGTTTATAGGAGGAGATGATGATGCGGATTCACTGTCTGTCTCCCAGACTTCCCCTGTTACCCACCACCTAGTCACGTGAGCCTTTGAGAGTGTGTGTGCGCTTTTGGGAATTGTGATCTTTTGGAATGTAGCCCACCACCACCACCACCACCACCACCACAACACCACCACCACCACCACCACAACAACACCACCACCACCACAACAACACCACCACCACCACCACCACAACAACACCACCACAACAACACCACCACCACAACAACACCACCACAACAACAACAACTCTCTTTCTTTGATCATCTTCTAGACCAACAGTACTGTAAAGTCAAAACATGTATCCATCAACATAGTGGTAAAACAATGGGCAGAGATGGGAGAGAAGAACATCTGAAATTCCACAACCACAACCATAGAATTAGAATGAATAGAATGGGCATTCTAAAGTCATTCATTCTAATTCTATGACCACACCAGCATGTAAAGAATGAATTAACACAGTGATGAGTGATCATCATTCATTTAAATGAAACTCCAATGCCAAGCCAAATCCCATCTATATTAGCAAGATGGTTCCTATGTCAACTTCCATTATCAGAGGCTTCGTTTTCCAACGGACACAGGAATAATCTAGCAGTAATGAGCAATTTGCAGACCATTAGGTCCTTTTGACTCGTCTTCCTGTGTTAAAGAGCCTTCAACATGTGACAGGATATACTGATGATTGTATCACTAAGATGACTAGCGTGTTGTATAAACTCAACACTCTCACTGAGTTATATGTTAGGACTAATGCAGGTTTAATTCTGGGTCTAAGAGGTCAACTTTTAGCAACGCTCATATGACTCACCGTTTATCAGACAAATAATAGCCATGTAAAATAACAGGACTTCTGAGAGTTGCTCATCTAATGTCTGTAAAATATTTGATGTCTGAATAAAATAATACTTTTCAGATAAATCTGAGTTGAAAAGTCATACTCATCAATTGAAACTTTGTATCAGTTGTCCTGTTGGAACGTCTATATACATTCATCTGATTATGATACGGTAACTTTCCATAGTTTTCAACTGTCTACATTGTTACACTGTAACAATCTGACTGTACACTCAGTTACTATAACTGTATTCTCACTGTGCCATATAACAATACGTTTATAAAATTGGATTTTTTTTTTTACCTTTTAAAAGCGTTGGTCCAGCAATCCTGAGAACTTCACCACAGCATCTCGTTGAAGAAATGTGGTGAGTCTATCTCGAGTCAGATGTGTTTTGGATATTGGGGGCGTTCCGTTCTATGGTGGGACGTCTGTCCTCGGATCAAACCATTCTCTGGAAAGAGAGAGAAGCGTGCTGCGGAAGTTAGTTAGAATTGTCACATATGTTTTTATTTGACGGGGTATAGTTTCTGGACGAGTTTTTGAAAGAATAGCAAAGTAAATGTAACTTCATGTTGGATAATTATTCCTAACGTTTTCACTCGAGAGCATTTTTCTTTTCTGCAGACACGCTATGCCCCATTGACACAGACATGATATGTTATATGTCAGAAAGGGGTGATCGAGAAGAATAGCTGGAGAAAATAAAAGTTAGTGGGAGAGGCAGAGACGAGTGCCGGTGGACAGCTGGCTGGTAGGAGAGTGATGGAGGTAGCCTCTTGAATAATAAAATGGCATGCATCCACAATTACACCTAACTTGTTTCATGCTGTTTTGACAGATTATATTTAACGGTATAAAAAGGTATTTAAAGTCACTGAAGAAGGATGATAGATTGTAGAATACAATCTATCCTCTGTAGCTCAGCTGGTAGAGCACGGCGCTTGTAACGCCAAGGTAGTGGGTTCGATCCCCGGGACCACCCATACACAAAAAAAAAATGTATGCACGCATGACTGTAAGTCGCTTTGGATAAAAGCGTCTGCTAAATGGCATATTATTATATTATTATAAAAAACCCAACCCCCAGAGTCACAAATGACCCCCGGAGCATCTTGACCAGATCCGCCGTCATCCCTTTACTTGGCCGGTCGGGGCAGAGAGGGGAGAGGTAGAGCAAGCATGTCGCTTTAGCTACCATTCCCTCCCCCGGCCTCATACCTCCTCCGGCCAACCCCCTCCCCGGCCTCATCCCTCCCCCGGCCTCATCCCTACCCCGGCCTCATCCCTCTCCCGGCCTCATCCCTCCCCCGGCCTCATCCCTCACCCGGCCTCATCCCTCACCCGGCCTCATCCCTCACCCGGCCTCATCCCTCCCCCGGCATCATCCCTCCCCCGGCCTCATCCCTCCCCCGGCCTCATCCCTCCAGATGGCCAGCTTTTTTCTCTCATCCCGTGATGGAATGAAAAGATCGGCTAATTAAACAAAGTCCCATATCCATGTGAAAGACGGAAGAGCCCTTGGGGAACAGTTGAGCGCAGGAGAGCTGGCCAGGCCAAGTATTGATTGTCACATTTGTTGTCCCCTAGATTCTACAACACTAGGGTTATTTAAACGGGAATGTTTGTAATCTTCATTGTCTTCTTGGTAAACACATTGCTAAGAAATGAAAAGGAGCAACAACAACAGACTAATCCACATAACATCTGTCATGATGGGGGGTTAGCTATATGAGTGACAACTGAAAATAGAAAATAACTGCATTACATAAAGAGAATTCAGAGTTCCAGTCACTACCCTGTGTCCAATAGTGGAGTAACATATACTTAATGTATGGCCTTTGAACTAAATGAACCAACCAAAATGACATGGAACACACCACATTATGACACCATGCTGCTGTAAACCAATTGCTTGTGTTGAATACAGACTTCAAAACTAAAAGTGAATCATTATAAAAAAAAACATTTATTCATAAATCAAATAAAATATTTGTCCTTAACATACACATTGTTTTCAGTAGACCTATGCACTTTCACATTCTCTATATGAAACCTATGACCGGTTTTCCTACAACAGTCCAGCGAGAAATGCATATCAGTCCTAGGAGTAGTCTTTTCAGTAACTTGCTGCAGTGAAGTTGACCCTCATCATATAGCTGTAGGATATGGGGTGCAGTGGAGGGAGAAACAGGAGGATGGGTTCATTGCAATGGCAGAACCATTGTGGTGAGGGAGGTGAACAAGTGCACTCTTTGGACCCTTGGGTGAAGAAATGGGCCGCAGCCACGGCTTCCGTGGTGAGAGGCTGCGGGGGGTGATGAGACGGGACGGAATGTCAAGTGGCCGTCACTGCCCAGACATCTGTGTGCGCCTCAGGTTGTCCTTCACACGTACAAACTCAGGGACTCCTCTCTCCTGCTCCTCCCGGCGCCTGATCTCCTCCTGCTCATACTGAAACATGACAGTAGATTCATTTCAAACATGGTCATAGCCTTCTGCTGTTTTTGTAAATAGTAAATACACTTTGTTTTTCTCCCAATGTTATTGGTGTTTTATTACATAGTGTGTGTGTGTGTGTGTGTATTTGGTGTGTGTGTCTGGTGTGTGTGTTTGGCGTGTGTGTGTGTGTGGTGTGTGTGTGTATGGTGTATGTGTGTGTGGTGTGTGTGTGTCTGGTGTATGTGTGTGTGGTGTGTGGTGTGTGTGTGTATCTGGTGAGTGTATGTGTGTGTGTGTGTGTGTGTGTGTGTGTTTGGCGTGTGTGTGTGTGTTTGGCGTGTGTGTGTGTGTGTTTGGCGTGTGTGTGTGTGTGGTGTGGTGTGGTGTGGTGTGGTGTGTGTGTGTGTGTGTTACCTCCAGCAGTATCTGCTGTCTCTTGCGTAGTTCAGTCTCCAGTTCCAGAGGAGGCTGTAGAGCCAGTTCCTCCTCTCTATGCTGCTCCAGTTCCAGAGGAGGCTGTAGAGCCAGTTCCTGCTCTCTTTGCTGCTCCAGTTCCAGAGGAGGCTGTAGAGCCAGTTCCTGCTCTCTTTGCTGCTCCAGTTCCAGAGGAGGCTGTAGAGCCAGTTCCTCCTCTCTTTGCTGCTCCAGTTCCAGAGGAGGCTGTAGAGCCAGTTCCTGCTCTCTTTGCTGCTCCAGTTCCAGAGGAGGCTGTAGAGCCAGTTCCTGCTCTCTATGCTGCTCCAGTTCCAGAGGAGGCTGTAGAGCCAGTTCCTGTTCTCTTTGCTGCTCCAGCCTCCTCTGTTCCTGGACTTGCTTCAGCTCAGGCTTCTCTCCTGGCAACAGGCCTGTAAATGGGCACAACAGACAACATGTCCAGACATATTTACACTACTGCGCCAAGCAGAGCTGAGCTGGCCTGGTTTGCATCCACCATAGTTGCTAGATAGGACAATGTGAAAATAAATATCTAAGTCAGAAGAGAACGGTTCAGGTTGGCATGATTGTGTGAAAAGGGTATTACACATAGGGGGCTCAGACACACACACACACACACACTACTCGGTCTCTCCTTGTGGTGCTGGGAATAAATGCAGCATAGTTTAGTTAATAATACTGTACCTAAACTATTATCTCTGCACTTTTCATTTTGTCTATGCTTCAGCAGATGTGATCTTTCTTAAAACTTCAGAGACATATAACAGAGCCTTTTGTCGATTTCTGTGCATATTGTAAGTATATGTGAGTGTTTATTTCAACCACCGTTTGGTGCTAACCAGCAGTTCACGGTGCAGGTCGAGGTGACTGGATGTCTCCACCGTGGAGCCGTTCAGTTTCACCCTGGGCTTCTGCAGCTGGGACTGCGTATGGCTCACCTCCTGGACCTCACTACACTCTGTAGACTGCCGGGACAGGGCGTCGCGGCACACATAGTTCTCTACAGGAGAGAAAAGGGTTCACACAAGTCTGGCACAAGTCTAGCCTTTTTCCAGATCTGTTTGTGTGCTGTGTGCAGACTCCATTGCTGTCATTGTCAGACAATTCCATGAGTTGGCAAAAACAGACAAAACAAATCAAATTGTATTTGTCACATGCGCCGAATACAACAGTGAAATGCTTACTTACAACTCAGGCTACCACAAGTCAACTTGGACCATCAAATCTGAGATCACATCATTTATTAATTGAGTCAGTCTTAGCTTTTACTATAGATATACCTTTTCTATGGTGCCAAAATCCTGGCCGCTGAGGAAGCACCTGAAATGTGAGAGAAGATCGGCCATTAATTAACTCCAGCAGAGTATAACAAAACATTGTACTGCAAATGTCCAGTAATATGATACAGTAGGGAACCACACATCCGCAACACACGGTAGCAAGGGCATGGTGTAAAACATTAGAGAGCTAACGGAGACATAAGGGTTGAAACACTGTCAATGAACCACAGGTGCATTATGTGGAGTGGAGTCTGAACATCCTATTTGATCACCATCTCAAGCATCTGCTCAGAAACACTGGATGTGTGGGTAATATTTTCCTATAGTGTAAAACATCTTCCGTCACATAGCACATTTTAATCAAACAATGTGCTACGTAATCAAGTCTTCCCTGTGTTAATCATGCTGCTTGTTGATTCATCCTGAGCCATCCCTGGCTAGGCTGTCTGCTGTGTTACTAACACATGAAGAAGAAGAGCCATCCCTGGCTAGGCTGTCTGCTGTGTTACTAACACATGAAGAAGAAGAGCCATCCCTGGCTAGGCTTGTCTGCTGTGTTACTAACACATGAAGAAGAAGAGCCATCCCTGGCTAGGCTGTCTGCTGTGTTACTAACACATGAAGAAGAAGAGCCATCCCTGGCTAGGCTGTCTGCTGTGTTACTAACACATGAAGAAGAAGAGCCATCCCTGGCTAGGCTGTCTGCTGTGTTACTAACACATGAAGAAGAAGAGCCATCCCTGGCTAGGCTGCCTGCTGTCGTCTCTATTTACTCATAGTGATGTCACACGGAGGGAATTCCTGTCAGAGAGTCAGGTATTACTAATGGTTTGGCTCTACACTCAAGGTTGCCAAGGTTTCCCAGTCCGGTCCATTCTCAAGCTCATCATCATCATCATCATCATAGGGGCTTCAACTAAGGAGCTTCAATGTCATCATGATAATAATGCCATGTCAATCATCTGATGACAAAATCAACAAATATAAGGAGAAATCGTAGTAAACAATGCATGTTCCGTCCTTGTCATTATACCTTTGAGGCCAGTGAAAACAAGCACCAACCTATTAGAACTGAACAATGTAACAGCCATGTAATAGCCTAATTATAAAACCTTTATAAAGGTCACTTTATTGTAAAGTGTAAGTGTTACTATTGGAAGTATAGAAATGGCTACCACAGCTGGTAGAGAGAATTAAGTCATCATAAGACTGTCCCTACTAGTCCTGACACACAGCAGATTCCTCTGCCAGTCACACCCAGTAGTTGAAATGAGATAACCACTCTCTCCTTTGGAAGCAGGCCTCATGAACAGTATGATATTAAGCAGAGGACAGACTGCAGTTGTTGTGAGTGTTCTGTGACTGGCCTTTTTACTCACAGACAGACAACGTGGAAAAGTTGCATCTTGCGCCAGGCCACAAACAATATCAACCCTACTGGTCTCTCTCTCTCCTCATCTCTCTCTCTCTCTCTCTCGTCTCCAGATTAGCTCTCTCTTCTCCTTCAACTTCTCTCATCTTCCCTCTCTCTTCCTCCTTACCTCTCTCTCTCTCTCCCTCTCTCTCTCTCTCTTCCTCTCATCTCTCTCTCTCTCCTCTCAGTCAAATATCTCGGTGCTGACCAGCAGTTCACGGTGCAGGTCGTGGTGACTGGGTGTCTCCACCGTGGAGCCGTTCAGTTTCACCCTGGGCTGCTGCAGCTGGGACTGCGTATGGCTCACCTCCTGGACCTCACTACACTCTGTAGACTGCCGGGACAGGGCGTCGCGGCACACATAGTTCTCTACAGGAGATAAAATGGTTCACACAAGTCTGGCACAAGTCTAGCCTTTTTCCAGATCTGTTTGTGCGCTGTGTGCAGACTCCATTGCTGTCATTGTCAGACAATTCCATAAGTTGGCAAAAACAGACAAAACAAATCAAATTGTATTTGTCACATGCGCCGAATACAACAGTGAAATGCTTACTTACAACTCAGGCTACCACAAGTCAACTTGTGTCGTAGTAAATATATTTGTTATAGTGAATATGGAATATGATATGTTGAGTAAAATGTTGTGCTAAGATCTATTTAGGTCAGGAGCTGGTTATAAGTTCTGTTCCTATCCAATAACAATGGACAAAAGGGTCCTATCTTGTCAGCCTTGTCAGCAGGTGGCCAAGGACAACACCCACGCCATAGGTCTCTCAGTTCTTCCAACTCACGAGTTCTGCCTTGACACAAACACACACACACACACACACACACATCATTACTGTTAACACACACACACACAAAATCCCCTCTTTTAGGCTGAACATTTGAAGACAGAGAACCCGACTCAGAGCCAATGCAACAGTGACACTAGCCTGGAGGGGACCTCGCCCAACTCATCAGGACCAATCAGAAGATCAGAACTACTAGATTCAACCTACTTCATTTATTGCATAAAATGTCTGCACACAATGTTTTCGGGGCTCTCTTCAGATAGCTCCCTACGAGTTTGACGAACGAGTCCGTGCACGCTATTCCAGATATCTTTACCTCTGAATAAACTGCCTTATATTATACCATTATCCACCCTGTCCAAAAGTCTCTACTTGGTCTCAGTTCTCCAGTAAACTTGTGATCATCAACACTTGTACCATCAAATCTGAGATCACATCATTTATTAATTGAATCAGTCTTAGCTTTTACTATAGATATACCTTTTCCATGGTGCCAAAATCCTGGCCGCTGAGGAAGCACCTGAAATGTGAGAGAAGATCGGCCATTAATTAACTCCAGCAGAGTATAACAAAACATTGTACTGCAAATGTCCAGTAATATGATACAGTAGGGAACCACACATCCGCAACACACAGTAGCAAGGGCATGGTGTAAAACATTAGAGAGCTAACTAGCTAGCTAGTTTGGGCAGGGTGTGAATATTCTACATTTGTATTTATATGTTGGCCGGTGTGGTTCCCAATCAGAGGCAGCTGTCGCTCGTTGTCTCTGATTGGGAATCATACTTAGGCAGCCTTTTGGCACTGTCTAGTTGTGGGTTCTTGTTCCGTGTAAGGTGTGTTGTACCTTTGGACTTCACGTTTCGTTTCCTTTGTTGTTTTGTCGTGTGTTTATCGTTAAATAAACATGTACGCATATCACGCTGCGCCTTGGTCCGACCCGTCTTTAAACGAACGTGACACAATGACATTCTTGGACCAATCCATATCTATAGAAATTAATGTCATTTTGATCATTCACAACAACTAGGGCACTTTTTTTGTTGCTTTCTTGGGGGAAAACATATTGGATTGAATTTGTATCATTATACCGTAGGTTTATGGTCAAATCAGTTCAATAGTAAGCTCTTCCCTTATTGTAACATTCAGATGACCCGTTTTACAACCCACTTGGCCACCTTGTGGCCACCAGTGGTAACATCAGTGGTCGGACCTGAAGCAAAACAACTGATCAAGTTGAATAAAACATTTTTGATCATGGTCTGTAGACTATGCAATAATTAATTCAAAGCCCAATGAATGGTTACAATAGAAGGATAGACAACACACAATTGATATAACATAGGTACATCCAAAGTAAAATTGGACTAAACAATTTGTAAAATTCTCCTAACTGAAAATGAAACGTTATATAAACTTGAGTGATTATCGCTCATCCTTTCCCAAAAAACACCAACATACACCTCCAGACTATTGCAAAGAAATCCACAAATGTCTGTCTGAAATCTTTTAGATTGCACTAATCTTTTGATTGTTCTGGATCAATCCACACACTGTGTAATGCTGTACTACTGATTAAGTATAGGCACAGTAGAGTTGTTGCTCTGCCTTCAATATAACCCCATAACATTTTGACTATGCAGAAAGCAACAGCATCCATAGCATCAATGCATAGTCAGCTTTGGTATCCATTCCTAGAAGGTCACAGATCAGCTTCTTTACTGTGTTGATCAGAATCACCTGTCACTGTCAGTCACCACCATACATTGAATATAACACTAATTTAATGTATCTCTATGGCCACCACCCACCACCTATGACAGGTGGCCAAAAGACAACCAGGCGTGACAGTTGAGCCACCAATTCAGAAAGGAGTTCAGACGATAATAAACAGACTCACTTTCTTTGCATTGTATGACCCTTCCATGGCACGGTCGCTACAGTCCTCCGTTTCTATCAAGCCACAAGATCTCTCTCCCCCTCTCTTATTCAATAGCACCTCTACACATACAGGCGTCTGCTTCTTTACAGCTCCCAAATCCAACATAGTAGTGATGTCTCTGAGAAGAAGAGTGTCTGTAGGTTACAGTTCAATGATTTAACCTACCAGTTGTAGACACACAGTGGTGGTAGTCAACCCCTATAATCCCATTACGCCATTCAAGATTAAGGGTGCATCCCAAATGGCACCCTCTTCATTATATAGTACACTACTTTTAACCAGAACTCTGGTCATAGAGAATAGGGTGCCATTTGAAACTCAGACTAAACCACAACCCACAACCCCCCGGGATTAGGAGGTGAGATTAGCTAATTGCCTTGGACATCAATGCTGCTTTTATTACAAATTACAAATGTAACATAATGCAGAATGAACAAGCAAAGTTGCTATGTTGCTTTTAAACCAATATAACATGGCAGTGATGGCAGAGTCCCCTCTGTATTTTTGGTATTTGGTATTTTATTAGGATCCCCATTAGCTGTTGCGAAAGCAGCAGCTACTCTTCCTGGGGTCCACACAAAACATGAAACATGACATAATACAGAACATTAATAGACAAGAACAGCTCAAGGACAGAACTACATAAAAATGTTTTAAAGGTACATGTAGCCTACATATCAATACATACACACAAACTATCTAGGTCAAATAGGGGAGAGGCGTTGTACCGTGAGGTGTTGCTTCATCTGTTTTTTGAAAACAAGTTTGCTGTTTATTTGAGCAATATGAGATGGAACGGAGTTCCATGCAATAATGGCTCTATATAATACTGTACGCTTTCTTGAATTTGTTCTGGATTTGGGGACTGTGAGAAGACCCCTGGTGGCATATCTGGTGGGGTAAGTGTGTGTGTCAGAGCTGTGTGTAAGTTGACTATGCAAACAATTTGGGATTTTCAACACATTAATGTTTCTTATAAAAAGAAGAAGTGATGCAGTCAGTCTCTCCTCAACTCTTAGCCAAGAGAGACTGGCATGCATAGTATTTATATCAGCCCTCTGATTACAATAAAGAGCAAGACGTGCTGCTCTGTTTTGGGCCAGCTGCAGCTTAACTTGGTATTTCCTTGCAGCACCGGACCACATGACTGGACAATAATCAAGATTAGACAAAACTAGAGCCTGCAGAACTTGCTTTTTGGAGTGTGGTGTCAAAAAAGCAGAGCATCTCTTTATTACGGACATCTTTACAACCATTGAATCTATATGTTTTGACCATGATAGTTTACAATCTAAGGTAACACCAAGTAATTTAGTCTCCTCAACTTGTTCAACAGCCACACCATTCATTACCAGATTCAGCTGAGGTCTAGAATTTAGGGAATGATTTGTACCAAATACAATGCTCTTAGTTTTAGAGATGTGCAGGTCCAGTTTATTAGTGGCCACCCATTCCAAAACAGACTGCAACTCTTTGTTAAGGGTTTCAGTGACTTCATTAGCTGTGGTTGCTGATGCGTATATGGTTGAATCATCAGCATACATGGACACACATGCTTTGTTTATGTCAGTGGCAGGTCATTGGTAAAAATAGAAAAGTGTAGAGGGCCTAGAGAGCTGCCCTGTGGTACACCACACTTTACATGTTTGACATTAGAGAAGCTTCCATTAAAGAAAACCCTTTGAGTTATATTAGATAGATAGCTCTGAATCCACGATATGGCAGAGGTTGAAAAGCCATAACACGTTATGGTCAATAATATCAAAGGCTGCACTGAAATCTAACAGTACAGCTCCTACAATCTTCTTATTATCAATTTCTTTCAACCAATCATCAGTCATTTGTGTCAGTGCAGTACATGTTGAGTGCCCTTCCCTATAAGTATTTGGGAGTCTACCCCTCGACGGCTGAGCCCTTTAATGCTGTCTAGTAAATAAGACAACATGGTCTAAGGACAAAGGCCTATATCAGCGGAGGCTGCTGAGGGGAGGACGGCTCATAATAATGGCTGGACGGAGTGAATGGAATGGCATCAAACACCTGGAAACCATGTGTTTGATGTATTTGATACCATTCCACTTAATCCGCTCCAGCCATTACCACGAGCCCGTCCTCCCCAATTAAGGTGCCACCAACCTCCTGTGGCCTATATGCTTTCAAGTAAATGAATACATAGTGGGGTTACTGGAAGGTCTTTCCAATAGCTCCAATAATGGAATGCTACAGGAACCAACTGGCCTGGGGGAATCAAAGGAGTGATAGAGTATGCTTGCTTGCTACTTTAGATTATAGATAGGGTTATTCATTATACATTAAGGGTCAGTTTCCCTGACACAGATTTAGCTTAGTCCTGGACTAAAAAACATTACAAATTGAGATTCTCCATCAAAATAGCTTTTTAGTCCAGCACTAGGATTAATCAGTGTCTGGGAAACTTTTCCTACATGTGAATGGAGAAAGGTTGTCTGGGAAACCAACCCTACATGTGAATGGAAAGAGGTGAATTGTCCCACACATGGGGTGCATTTCAACAGTCTAAAGTGGCTTTGTCTCATTGTCTCCTTTCCACACAGATCTGTTAACATCATCTAGGACCAGTTTAGCTCTTCACATCAGTGCAGAACGCAAATGAAGGGATTAAGGGAAATTGAAAATAAAAAATATTTAACTAAGAGATGCACCCTCATTGTACCAGATATGGAAAAGAAGTGGTCTTGCAACTGGCTTTCATTGTGTCTCAAAAGCCCTTAGATTGCCTTTCTACTCAGATAGATTCACCATGTACATGTTTATCCAGTCAAACAAATGTAAATATAGTAGCAGTTACCTTTGCTTTGAGAATGCCTTCTGTTCCTGTGATGCTTCTTGATCGTCAATCCATTGGTCTTCCCTTTCCAGCAGCACTTCAATCGACGTTTTCCTGTTTCACTGATCAGCCTGTTTACACAGATGTTGCTACAAAGACAATTTATCCAACATAAAACGACCAAAAGTAGACAGATAAACTACTTGGCAGTGACCACAACCTGTGACAGTGGCAAACGGTACTATACGACGCTTATTTCTGTATCATTATAAAAAATGGTTTAAGTACAATTGCTTATTAGCTAGCAAGCTAACTTTAGCCACCAGGAAGTTTAAGGTGTTGCTCGCCATCTAACTAGCAGCTAATGCATAATAAAGCCCTAAATGAATGCCACACTTGCTTGAAATGCACAATTCGTTCAACTTCAGCAAGTTAGTAAACAAACGGTCTACAAACAAATCTATGAAATTATTACATCAGTTTGCTAATGTGTATGTCCCTGAGCAGTGTATTCATTCAATGGTTGTAGCTCAGTTGGTAGAGCATGGCGTTTGCAACACCAGGGTTGTGGGTTCGATTCCCACGGGGGGCCAGTATGAAAAATAAAAAATAATGTATGCACTCACTAACTGTAAGTCGCTGTTGGTGAACCCATAAGGAGAGGAAGTACAAAACCAACGACGCTAGACGGAGAGGAATATGCTTAAGCAAAAGGCAGTTTATTAAACACAGAGATAGCTGGTATCTGCTCAAGCTACATGCATGGACCCATTCAGTTGCCTCTTATGGAGACAGTTGAAAAGGGATCAAAAACAGAGTTTTCAGCATTACTTTATACAATGCAACATAATGAAAGGGGTCCTTCTTCTAGTCCCTTGATTAGTTCCCGAGGCGTAGGAGGCGCGTCTGCTCTGTCCAGAGCAGAAGCCCCATTGGTGCACGGCAGAGTCCTCTGCCCTAGGCACCCGACCAGTAGAAAGAAGTGCAGTTTGTGTGTGTGTGCGTCCACAAAGCAAAGAACTCGTGAGGCATGAGAATGAGTGTGCGTATGCATGGAGATGTGTGTGTGAATGTGTATGTCTCAAGGGAAAAACTCGTGGGGAGCAACCAGTGATTGTGGCCTGTGGCGTGGGTGTTGTCCTTGACAAGATATGGTCCTCTGTTCATTGTTCTTGCATAGGAACAGCATTGATTGAAAACAAGCTCCTAACATTAAAATGGGTCATGCACAAGATTTTAGTCAGACCAAGCTATAACATTTTATATTTACTACGACATCGCTCTGGATAAGAGCGTCTGCTAAATGACTAAAAATGTAAATGGTTTACTGGTGTTCGGCTTGCTGTTCATCTGCACGTGTGCCTACCTGAAGAAAGTTCCTCGCATGAAGGGCTGGCTGAGAAGAGAGGGGTATGGGGAGTGTTCTACAAAGGTATTAAATGGGAATAAGATGGTGCCTCCTAATTAACATGCCAGAGATCGATAATTAGTCAACAGGATTACATCGGGCATCCCTAAAACATAGTAAAGGGTCTGCTTATTAATGTGCTATTTTAAAGGGAAAGTTAAACATGATTTCAATAAAAGTTAATGCATATCACTTGTGCATTTGTACACACACCTCCCACTTGCTTTTCTAATGAGTTTGAAATGTGATGTTGTTTAAAACTTGATATCACCAGGGATTGTCTTTGTTCTTGTCTCAACAGCGTCTGTGATTGGGACCAGACTTCACCTGACAGTAGCTCTATCCTGTGTGACCATGGCGTTCTATGTCCTCTTTCTGAAGTGACCAACTAGGGGACTGGACTGTCTAGTCGGCTGCTCATGGACACTAGCCTGGTCTTAGGTTTTCTTTGACAATGACATCAATGGAGTTGGCAAGACAGCACAAACAGATCTGTGACCAGGCTACATGGACACTGGCTATGAGCTTGGAACCAATGAACAATGTGGCGAAGGGAAGAGGATGGGGCTACACACTTTCCAAAAGGGATCTTCTCTCCGTCAACATGCCACACACCCTGCACTTTCTGAACTGAGATGTTATTTGAGTTAGTGGTGATGAAAAAAGGTCAAGACACTGACTGACACAGAGATCAACAACATGAGAGAGTACCCCTCTGTGTGCAGTCAGTGGTCAAAACAGGGTGGTTGATGTATCTCTTTCTGTACATTAAAATGGGGGACTTTGGGGATTTTACTGTGAATCTAGTGCTTTTGGAGTTCAGGAGTTTGGAAAAGTGTACCTCCACAGGACCAATGTATAACACAGCCATTAATTGGACATTCATGCTTCATTTAGAGAAGTTTGATACTAATGATCTGTCAAAAATGACCAACATCTTTCAGCAGTTGCCAGTACTTTATCCGCCCGCAACCACAGGGCTCTCCAGAGGGTGGTGCGGTCTGCCGAACACATTACCGGGGGCAAACTAACCCGCCCTCCAAGACACCTACAGCACCCGATGTCACAGGAAGGCCAAAAAGATCATCAAGGACAACAACCACCCGAGCCACTGCCTGTTCACCCCGCTATCATCCAATCCAGAAGGCGAGGTCAGTACAGGTGCATCAAAGCAGGGACCGAGAGAATGAAAAACAGCTTCTATCTCAAGGCCATCAGACTGTTAAATAGCCATCACTAGCACATTAGAGGCTGCTGCTGCCTATTGAAATCACTGGCCACTTTATAAAATGGAACACTAGTCACTTTAAGATTGTTTACATATCTTGCACTACTCATCATGTATATACTGTATTCTATTCTAAAATATTCTACTGTATCTTAGTCCATGCCGCTCTGTCATTGCTTGTCCATTAATGTATATATTCTTAAATTCCATTCCTTACTAGATTTGTGTGTGTTGGGTATATGTTGTGAAATTGTTAGATATTACTTGTTAGATATTACTGCACTGTCGGAGCTAGAAGCACAAGCATTTCGCTACACCCGCAATAACATCTGCTAAACAGGTGTATGTGACAAATAAAATGTGATTTGATTTGATATCCCTTGATGCAGGTTGTTTTTATAAGTGTGATTTTCTATTATGTAGATGAAGGTGGAATAGAGGGTGGAAATGGAAAATAAAGTAAAATATATTGCAGTCAATTAATAAAGTTTAACCATTTATAAGTTAAGCATATTGTGTGATTCATTATAAACAAGCACATGTAAACTGCCTACTCAATACAAGGCAAGCGCAGGTTACCATTTATGGCCACATGAGGGCACGCTATTATTTTACTCCAACCTTTCCCCCCACGAAATGTCCCATGATTCCCTGCGCTCTATAAATTGGCCAACGCGGAAACGTAGCCATTCTTGTTTGGTTTGAATGGTTGTGTGCGTGTTTGTTTGTTGTTTTGTTTGTTTGTTTGTTTGTTTGTTTGTTTGTTTGTTTGTTTGTTTGTTTGTTTGTGCGTGCGAGTGACCGTTGTGAGCGTGAGAATGCAAGAGAGAGTGTGAGTGATCGTTTTATGTTTGTAAGTCTAGCCACCCAAAAAAAAACTACACAGTGATCTTATTTGATCTGGTCGGGGTTTGGCCTTGTTCCGATTCGGAAATGATAATACCCGACATGCGAGCCTCTGAGGCCATGAGCATGAAGCTTCGACTAACTTAAGGGCCTCCACAAGAAATTGTGGTCAGAAGTGATGACTCGATCAGATATACTAGTGCCGAGGAGATTTATGGTTTTACCGCATTCTCCACACCGGCCAATGAGTATAACAGCGATTCTGATCTGCCATAAATTCGAAAATTGTGCCCTGGTCTAAGAAGTTGGCTGTAGTTGGCTGGCTAGCTACTAAGCTAATGTTGGCTAACTAAGTAACTCTGTTTGCCTTGCGAACAGCAAAGCTAACACGGTTAGCCAGGTAATGAGGCAATGACAGTGGAAGTAAAGTAGTTTGTGGAGAGAAGTGGGCTAATTTTAACTTTTATAAATATTCGGTTTGTGGTCCTGCTGCTGGCCACTATTCAAAATAAACCATGCTAGTTTAAGAATTTCTGATCAATGTGCAACCAGCCTAACAAAATATAATTTGAAATGGTTAGTTTTCTTTTCACATACTTGTTTAGTTATGTAGTGAAAGCAACTATTAACCGATGTGCTGTCAAAATAATGCTTTTATTGAAACATGTTTCTGTAAACTTGAATACTGTAATAGTAATGATATTGTGTAGGGGGTAGTTTGCTGGAAGTTGAGTGGGATGTCCACTGAGTGAGTTGGTATTATTAAAGAGAGTACAATCCACAATAGTGCTTCCTGGCATATATCCTGTTGGTAGAGGTAATGAGATTCTGTGGAGACAAAAGAAAGGTAGGTTATTTTCTTTGATAACTGGTGTCCCTCATACTTTGCCAGGCCCGGGACCCTTACCGTTAGGTCAGAACTAGGGACCCTTACCATTAGGTCAGAACTAGGGACCCTTACCATTAGGTCAGAACTAGGGACCCTTACCATTAGGTCAGAACTAGGGACCCTTACCATTAGGTCAGAACTAGGGACCCTTACCATTAGGTCAGAACTAGGGACCCTTACCGTTAGGTCAGAACTAGGGACCCTTACCGTTAGGTCAGAACTAGGGACCCTTACCATTAGGTCAGAACTAGGGACCCTTACCATTAGGTCAGAACTAGGGACCCTTACCATTAGGTCAGAACTAGGGGCCCTTACCATTAGTTCAGAACTATGACGACACTGTTTGTTAGAAGTCCCAGTAGTTATGGACATGGTCAAAAAGCTCTTTATATACCAGTCAAAGTAAATGACCATAGATATTCCTTTCAGACTACTTGATTATAGCTTTGATTTCACTAATGCTCATCATCCCCTTGCCTGCCCATCAAAGTATTTGCTAATACACCCCATTAGTTATTATTTATTGAACAAGTCATCAGGACCGAGTTTGGGAAACCCTGCTCTAGACTACCGCAGCACCACAGTTGAGAGCGTTTCCCCCAGTTTTAGGCCCATGTTTAGTGAATTCTGACCCCTAGCCTCCTGGTTTCGTCACACTCACCCATGGTTGTCAGTAACAGTCTCCCTCTGGTATAAGGTCAAGTTCTTACTACCGAAGAACTCTTGGTGGTGTTCATTTGTTGATTTCAGATGGAAGTCTAGGTTGTCTTTAGGTGCCTTGGATGGGATAGATGATTGTAAATTCATTTATATGTAATTTTATGATGTAAATTCGGCATGTCTTCAGTTTCTGTAGAATGTGCGTATGAATCAATGAAGTTAAAGTTTATATTGTGCTAGATACATTTGGCTAGTAGGCTTACTTGTTTTTTCATGTTGCCATTTGTGTCAAGCTGATAATAGGACTTCAAGAGCTCGAATATTAGCCTACCTGCCAGTAATGATACAGGACATTCCTTCTGATGCAAGCCAGAGTTGCCATGTCAATCAGATGACTCCACGGTTCGTCATTTTAAATTATGTGAGTTGGTTTATCAAACGGCTCTTTCTGGGCAGTTGGAAAGAATGCATAAGCTAAGTGATAAAATAATGGAAATAATTTAACGTTAGACCTACTTCATAAGGTTTTAAAATATTTGACCCCCAAAAGTATAATCAGTGCTATGGCAGCAATGTAGGTCTACCTGACACTGCCTTGCCCCAGTCAATGAGAAGGTGTTCTCATGTAAAGGAAAGGGATCTCTCCTTCGTGGCATTATAACAGCTAGAAATGTTACAACGTTGCTGATGAAGAGAAATAAATGTTTTTGCTGCCAAATTGTATCCCCTTGTGTTTGTTGCGCTCAGTGGCGACCCGTCACCTGTTTCGAGCCCCACATTTTTAGCAAAAAATAATAAACAAGTAAAATAATGTTTTTTTTGGGGGGGGGGTCTTGCCTGTTTTGCATGTTATTTTGCCATTAATACGTGTCACATATCAGTTTGCAAACAATGTAAAAAAAAACAATTGGGTTAATGAAACCGCATACAAACATTGTCTCTTTTTTGCTTTCTTAATGCAGCTCCAAAATGCAGGTGTTTCAGCCTAGCTCAGTGCTTTCTGTGGTGGTGGGGCAGCCAGCGGAAAAAAACGGAGCGTAGGTGTTGGTAATGTTCTCTAGTTGTGCCGTGATTAGCTCAGTGTTCTGTCACTCACTGGGACACTATGTCACCTCCAAGTATAATGGTAGAGCTCGAAAAATCAAGCCCCTTTGGTGCTGCCATAGAGTTACATTAGACGTGCCCATCCAAGAAGGCTCAAGGTCATTGGCCACAGATAAAATGTCAAATTACGTTTTATCTACAGTAGCTTTGATTGGACTGATCATGTCAACATCATACCTTCAAAATGTTAGCTAGCAGTCATCATCATGAATCAAGTCGACATTCTACTGGCAAATCCTTTTTAATCCTTGTCATATGAAGATAAATAATGAAGAGAAATTATAGATGAAACGTATCGGTGCTCATCGGCCATTGGACATAAACATTACACAACAAGTTGGAAATCGCAAATTCAACAATGAGTGGTTTGGAAGGAATCAGTGGCTAACTGCAAGCATTGCAAAGCAATCACTAGCCTGCTATTCAGTGGAGTGGTTGTGTGGTCCCGAATCTGGGATTAAGGGTCTCTTTTCCAAGTTTAAAATGATAAACATTCAACATTAGCCATGCTGTCAATGAAGCATGATTTGTGCTGCACTCAAAACAACTGTTAACTTGGAATTGCGAAAACGTGACTTCAGTGAGTTCAAGACAACTTGGGAACTCAGGAAAAAACGAGCTCCGACTGGGCAAAAACTTTTTGAACGGTCATCCAACTCGGAATTATAAATCCAGAACTTGGGCCTCTTTCTAGAGCTACGACCTGAAGATCAATTACGTCATCATGAATCGACCTTGTTTTTTTCTGAGTTCCCAGTTGTCTTGAAAGCACCATAATTTCAGAGCATGCCAGACTTTTTTTGACAAGATTTGTTCACGAAGGACCGCCGCGCCACCTTCCTGTTCAAGTGAGTACAGCACAACAAGGTGAGTCCAAAAATGTATTGTATGCTGCTGCATAAATGATGTAATATGCCAGGGAGATATGTATACTGTACCTAAGAAAGTAATACTAAGTGTATGTTGTGTAGTAAGCTGTTAGTAGCCCATGTGCCTCACCCTAATAATTTGGTCTATTTTCCCCTCTTAATTTCGCCTACTGTTCTGACTTGGTGGTGCACATGTAGCCTATAACCTGTTTTAGAGAAATGTAATCATCAAATATTGTAAGAGCTTTCATTGTCTGCTTAAATGCCCCCTTTATTTATCATACGGTTCTGACTTGGTGTACAGGGAGAACACTGTAAGAATGGCCCATGTTCTGAATTCTGTAGCTGTACATTTCAAAAGTGCTAAACAAATAGTTATATTGACTACGTCAGTCCTAGCTCGCTCATTAATGTCTTAATCGAAGTTACGGATTGCCTCTTATCTGCTTGTCGTCCCCTTATGCCATAGTTTGTCCATCTCAGTTGTCATTAGAAACCACGTTTGTTTAAGCAAGTGAGCCATATCAGCTATGTTTTTTTAAAGGCAGTAAATGAGGCAGAATGAACTGTTTCGCTGCCAGACAAGGGCTCCACTGATAGCCAGGTGTGGCAGTGGTAAAATGTTGGGACAGCTTTATGTAGGCCCTAACAGTTTGTGAGCACCGTTTGAGTGCAATTAATTTACATTTTAGTCATTTAGCAGATGCTCTTATCCAGAGCGACTTACAGTTAGTGAGTGCATACATTTTCATACTGGGCCCCCGTGGGAAAAGAACCCACAACCCTGGTGTTGCAAGCGCCATGTTCTACCAACTGAGCTACAGGGGACCTAATGTATTGTTTAGTGTTGTGTTGTGTTGTGGCTTTGCTGGCATGCATCCCACTTTTTTTGTTTGTTTGCCCCACCAAGATTTACATGCTAAATGCGCCACTGTATACAGGACCGTACAGCGCAATACAACGTGACTGTGACTGCACTAATTTGAGATCAACCGTGTCCTACAATGCATAGCACCATCATCTTCAGTACAGGGCTACAACTGAACAATGAACTTGAATACCTCTAAACAGTGAAATACAATGTAATACCCATATAATGTGGTACCATACACGTATACAATTACAGGACATGTAAACAACGCACTGGGGGACATTATCCTTTACAAATACAAGGTTTATATGTACTTGCATATCGACAAGGACGTACACTGGCCTTGGCTAACACAATGAAAGCTAACTGGTGTGAAAACACAAGGATGGCTGGAACTTGACTTGTATCGAGCTGATCTTCTTCTCTGAGCTGGAGATCGCCCAGCATACTCTGGTCCACTTCACCGGTGGGCAGAGCTACAGCTCTGATATGAGGAATTAACATTACTAATATGATTTAACTACAGATACTTCACAGCCTTTTGTACACTTAGTGTACAAGAGAAAGTAGTGCACTTTATTTTCTGTCAATATACCTGGTAATAAACAACTCCAAAGGGGGCACTATAAAATCTGCTTTTTTATATATTTTCCCAAATTATGTTCTCAGTTTTTGTTTTCACTCTTAAAATTGCAATTGTACACCCAGAAACAACGAAATTGGATGTTCTGAGTCCATGTCAATGCTTAAATCACATCAGAAGACAAAAAAATGTAGGGGGGGCGATTTCAGTCAGGTTGAAAATCGCCCAGAAGTCTGTAATAGACTCCCATGTAAAATCTATTTTTTTTCAAATTTCAGAGCCTTCAATACAATCTCAATGGGTGTCTGTGGGCTTGCACTTACGCGCTTTCGTCATACGTTACGTAACCATGAACGTAACTGAGAAAAGAGTGGATTGTTTGAAAGAAGTTCCTTTTTGTCGGCGAACAAATTAAGATAAATTGGCAACGAAACAATTAGGACCTCCCAGACCAAATTTAATAATTCAACAGGTTTCTACTAAAGGCGGAAAGTCCTACACCCGAGGATTTTCCAAAAATTGGTACGAACGAAAAAAGACATTGCCACTCACTCAACTGGATGACGAGGGATACAGGCTAGCTGTCCGCCGCCACAACGATGAGGTTAGTGTTGATAATCACAAGTTTACTGGATGTGGATATGGTGTAATAAAGGCAGTTTATTCAGAGGTAAATATATCTGGAATCGCGTTCACGGACCCGTTCGTCAAACTCTTAGGGAGCTATAAATTAAGCCCCATTACTTACCATATCAGATAAGAGAAATTGCTGCAGCTACATATATTTTACATCCTGGCCCTACATAGTTCACTATTTGCATCACTTACCAAAATATTACATGTGGTCATATATGCTTGGAAAGTGGAGATGCCATAGAACGTCAAAAAAGTAAACATTGCTGGAGACACATTGCCGTTTTGGAGAAGACATCGCGTTTGCTAGCGAAGAGATTTGTTGTGGCAAATGAACTTGGGCTGGGAATTGCCAGGAACCTCACGATAAGATATGTGCATCAGCATTGCGAGTCTCATGATTCTATACGTATTGCGATTCGATACTGTGATTTTATTGCGCACCATATGTCTGTTGCAGAGGGATCAGAAAGCCATGAGAACGAGTTTTGATCAGTCATGGAAATAAAAGTGCTGAAAACAAATTTGCTCCCAATGTGAAAAGATTGAGAACAAGCTATGAAGGAACAATAATGGTGTTTTGGTGTAGGTACAGCCAACTAGCGCTAAAATATTGCGATATTGTCAATACAGTATATCGTAAAGTATCACTATGTAACTCGATTTCTTTCACCCCAATCCCTCAAATTAACGGTAAATAACTGAATTGTTTGCCCCACATTTAGCTAAGATGATTAGCTAGCCAGCTAAAATGTTTTATTTAGTTAGCAGTCGCATCTACAATAGTTTACTGTCAATAACATGTCTCCAAAAATGACGTGGTGTCTCCAATTGTGTTGACATTTTACAATTGCAATGCGCATCCATGAGTATCCACTTTCTGTAGCTCAGCTGGTAGAGCATGGTGCTTGTAACGCCAAGGTAGTGGGTTCGATCCCCGGGACCACCCATACACAAAAATGTATGCACGCATGACTGTAAGTCGCTTTGGATAAAAGCGTCTGCTAAATGGCATATTATTATTATTATTATTATTATTATTATCTGAAGAGAGCCCCGAAACATTGTGTGCAGACATTTTATGCAATAAATGAAGTAGGTTCAATCTAGTAGTTCTGATCTTCTGATTGGTCCTGATGAGTTGGGCGAGGTCCCCTGCAGGCTACTGTCACTGTTGCATTGGCTCTGAGTCGGGTTCTCTGTCTTCAAATGTTCAGCCTAAGAGAGGGGATTTGTGTGTGTGTGTGTGTGTGTGTTTAACAGTGATGATGTGTGTGTGTGTGTGTGTGTGTGTTTAACAGTGATGATGTGTGTGTGTGTGTGTTTGTGTGTGTGTGTGTGTGTCCTCAGAGCAAGAACTCGTGAGTTGGAAGAACTGAGAGGCCTATGGCGTGGGTGTTGTCCTTGGCCACCTGCTGACAAGGCTGACAAGATAGGACCCTTTTGTCCATTGTTATTGGATAGGAACAGAACTTATAACCAGCTCCTGACCTAAATAGATCTTAGCACAACATTTTACTCAACATATCATATTCCATATTCACTATAACAAATATATTTACTACGACATTAGCAAGAACCGCCACATCCTCAGCC